TGAAGGACTGAGCATGTGGCCGGGGGTGGTGAACCAGAGAACCCATCAGCTGTAGCAAGAGAGCATCTCTTTACCATGATGCTTTCATTGTGCTTATTGGCATTTTAAAGTAAACCGATGAACAGCACAACTTAGGAGAATGTGTTTTCTTATGAAATTTTAACGTGATGACAAATGCTGATTGCCCACGAGCACATTTTCTGTTTCTGTCTTTGGGAAAATAGGTTAATTTTAAGCAGTGCGAAAGGAAGCTCAGCCGGCCAATGTTTTCACTCCTCGTGTGTCATTGATGTCTCTCTCCCACAGAACTGAAGCAGATCACCTGGCTCAGTGTCACAGGGCTGCTGATGGTGGTCTTCGGAGAATGTCTGAGGAAGGCGGCCATGTTTACAGCTGGCTCCAATTTCAACCACGTGGTGCAGAATGAAAAATCAGATACACATACTCTGGTGACCAGCGGAGTGTACGCTTGGTTTCGGCATCCTTCTTACGTCGGGTGGTTTTACTGGAGTATTGGAACTCAGGTATAATATCAAATATGACACCACTCCCCTTTTTTATTTTTTATTTTTTTTAGTAACATTTTAAACATTGTGATACAATTCACATACCATAAAAGTCACCATTTCGAAGTACACAATTAGTGGTTTTCAGTGTGTTCATGAGGTTGTTGGTCTCCTTTAAATAATAGGTACGTGTTCTTCTTGGCGTGTTTCAAGTGATAATTTAATAAAAGTCAAGAGAACTAATGTAGTCTGTAATGCTTTTTAGTATGTGCCCAAAACCTGGGTGCATAAATCCTTGGTGCTGTTAGCTACCTGCTGTATCCCTTTATCCTGTTTCTGCCTGGTTTTTTTTTTTTTTTCTTTTTTCTTTTTTTGTCGGTAGACACAGGGTCTTACTATGTTGCCCAGGCTGGTGTCAAACTCTTGGCCTTGAGTGATCCTCCCACCTCAGCTTTGCAAAGTGCTAGCATTATAGGCATGAGCCATTGTGCCTATCCCCTTCTCTGCCCCTTCAACCTATTAATAGATCTGAAACACCCCAGGGGGGCTGAGGACAGAGACGGCCCTTAGGGAAGGGAGTGCCCTCTACCACTCATGTGGCAGCTTGGCTGGATTTCATCAGAAATAGGTATTAATGGGGTCGAGGCCATGTGTTAGTGAGCTGTGTGGAGCCATGTAGGTTTGTTCTGTCTCAGGCTGAAGAAAAGGCCTTGTTTCTTTCTTTTTTTTTTTTTTGAGACCTAGTCTTGCTCTGTTGCCCAGGCCAGAGTGCAGTGGTGCGATCTTGGCTCACTGCAACCTCTGCCTCCCAAGTAGCTAGAACTGTAGGCACAAACCACCATGCCTGACTACTGTTTGTATTTTTTTTTGTAGAGACAGCGTTTCTCGAGTTGTCCAGAGCCGTCTTGAACTCCTGAGCTCAAGCAATCTGCCCTCCTGGGCCTCTCAAAGTGCTGGGATTACAGGCTTGAGCTACGGTGCCTGGCCTTTTTTTTTTTTTTTTGAGACGGAGTCTCACTTGTCGCCCAGGCTGGAGTGCAGTGGTGTGATCTCAGCTCACTGCAACCTCTGTCTCTTATACACATCTAGATGTGTATAAGAGACAGCCTGTAATCCCAGTTACTCAGGAGGCTGCGGCAGGAGGATCGCTTTGATTGCTACTGTACCCCAGTCTGGGCAACAGAGTGAGACCCTGTCTTACAAAATAAAATTATTTATTTGTGTATTAAAGATGAGAGCTTACTGTGTTGCCCAGGCTAGTCTCAAACTCCTGGGCTCAAGCAGCCGTCCTGCTTTCGTCTCCTGAGTAGCTGGGACTATAAGTGTGCACCACCATGCCCAGCTAATTTTTTGTTTTTAGTAGAGATGGGGTCTTACTGTTGCCCAGGTGGATCTCGAACTCTTGGGCTCAAGTAGGCCTCTCCCTGCAGCCTCCCAAAATGCTGGGATTACAGGCGTGATCCACCATGCCCAACCCCAAGCCTTATTTCTTGAAAATGTTTCTTGATTCTGTACTCTTGGTCCTAGAAAAAATTGGCCAAAGAATGTGAATACATCTTGGAAAATTCACCAAGTCTTTGGGAAAAGTCTCCAAGTCTTTGGGCGAATCCAGAGATCTCTCAGGCATCCCATCAGCAATGCATAGTCCTTGGTGACTCTCTGGTGACCCCTAACGGTATAGTTGGGGCAAATTATTCCATAGCTTTTACTTTACATTTTTTGTTTCTAAAATATGTAAAACCCTCACATTAACAATCACCTTCCCTGGGAACAAATTGGTTATGACTGAATAATGTAATTTACCATAAATGTGTGCTTACTGTATACATATGTGCACTAGAACCAAAGGGTTTTCCATACTTTTTTGCCTATATATATTTTTTTACATTGTGCTCCAGCACTTGTGTGTGTATGAACAGAACATGTCTTTCCTAGTATAATAATTACCCTTACCATGTTAAAAACCCTGTTTTCTATCTTACTATTTGCAGTACTGTTCATGATGCACTAAATGATTTCATGGCTCAGTAACAGGCTATAGCCTGCTATCAAGAACTCCCGCTGTAGGGTATCCCCAGCAAGCTATGCCAGATGTGAGGGTACAGGCCCTGGAGTCACTGACTGGGCCAGTCCTGATTCTGACGTTCACTGCTTGGCCTCCCTCTCCTCTCACGTTAAAGTGGGGGCAGCTAGACGTAGTGGCACATGCTTGTAGTCCCCCCTACTCGGGAAGCTGAGGCGGGAGGATGGCTTGAGCCCAAGAGTTCAAGTCCAGTCTGGGCAATATAGTGAGACCCTGTCTTTAAAAAATAAAGGCTGGGTGCGGTGGCTAATGCCTGTAATCCCAGCACTTTGGGAGGCCGAGCTGGGCGGATCACAAGGTCAGGAGATCGAGACCATCCTGTGAATGGTGAAACCCCTGTCTCTCTAAAAATACAAAAAAATTAGCCAGGCGTGGTGGTGAGCGCCTGTAGTCCAGCTACTCGGGAGGCTGAGGCAGGAGAATGGTGTGAAGCCAGGAGGCAGAGCTTGCAGTGAGCCAAGATCGCGCCACTGCACTCCAGCCTGGGCAACAGAGTGAGACTCCTTCTCAAAAAAATAAATAAAATAAATAAATATTTTAAAAAACAAAGTGGGGATATTAGCTTGCCCTCAAAGGTTTGCCATGAGAGTTGAACAGGGTAATGATTGTAAAGGGCTTAGCACGGCGCTGGGAACACAGTAAGTGCTCAATAAGAGAAGGTGTGAGAGGTCAGGACATGAGCCTGGCTCTCCAGGTAGTTGAACTGGAGCCTAAAATGTATGTTCAGAAAACGTATAGAAAATGTATGTCGGGGAAGATGCACATCCACAGGGGACCAGTGGGCAGGAGTAGGTGAGTGGTTCCCTGAGGAGCTGGGGCATGCTTTTGGCCTTGAAGGACTGTTTGGCTGGGGATCAGTAAGAAGGATGTTCTTTTTTTTTTTTTTTTTTCCTTGAGAGGGAGTTTCGCTCTGTTGACCAGGCTGGAATGCAGTGGCGATCTCAGCTCACTGGAACCTCTGTCTCCTGGGTTCAAGCAATTCTCCTGCCTCAGCCTCCCCAGTAGCTGGGATTATAGGCTTCCACCACTACGTCTGGCTAATTTTTGTTTTTGATAGAGATGGGGTTTTACCATGTTGGCCAAGCTTGTCTCAAACTCCTGACCTCAGGTGATCTGCCCGCCTTGGCCTCCCAAAGTACTGCAGTTAACAGACGTGAACCACTGCACCTGGCCAGGATGTTCTTAAAGGTGGAAGAAAGGGCCAGGAGTTCGAGACCAGCCTGGGCAACATAGTGAAACCCCATCTCTACAAAAAATACAAAAGTTAGCTGGGCGTGGTGGCGCATGCCCTTAGTCCCAGCTCCTTGGGAAGCTGAGGTGGGAGGATCACTTGAGCCCAAGAAGTTAAGGCTGCAGTGAGCCATGATCACGCCACTGCACTCCGCGTGGCAGAGTGAGAACCCGTCTCCAGGGAGGAGAGGGAAAAAGGTAAGAGGCAAAGTGGGCACAGCGTGGGGAAGGCAGGAGACTGGGGAAGTAGGCGAAATGCTGCTTTTCTTGGGTTGGAAACCCAGACTCGGGAGGTGGGATTGAGGCTCTGGAGCTCTCTGAACATGGAGGTGATCTGCTGGAAGGGGCATTTCGGAAGCTCAGTTTTGTGGCCCCGTATCTCGTGCTGAAGCAGAGGCTCTGGGTTTAGGAGGCAGAGGCTCAGGCAGCTGTGGTGTAAGCAAATGCATTTGTGGTGGGAGGGTCCTGGGCAGGAAGGCAGCGTGCATGGGACCTCATGTTGGGGAGCTCACACCAGGAGGTAGGGGGCATTGCTGTCACCCCAAGCTGAGGGTTGAAATCCAAGAGGTTGATCTTGTGATTTTCAGATCTCTGTCATGTAAGAGGAGCAACAGAAAAGCACATAAGAAAGGCCTGCAGCACTGAGTGCTTAGGGCTACGGTGACAGTACTGCTCCCAGAGACCCTGACAGTCTCAGCAGGGCATGGGCACAGAAATCCTCTGGGTATTAGAGACAGACGCCCACCAAAGCACAGGACATCATCCCACGGTCACCCTGATGAGCCCGGTGTCTCCCTCTGTTAGGTGATGCTGTGTAACCCCATCTGCGGCGTCAGCTATGCTCTGACGGTGTGGCGATTCTTCCGCGATCGAACAGAAGAAGAAGAAATCTCACTAATTCACTTTTTTGGAGAGGAGTACCTGGAGTATAAGAAGAGGGTGCCCACGGGCCTGCCTTTCATAAAGGGGGTCAAGGTGGACCTGTGACGGGCAGTGGCTCCGGTGACCTTGGGGCCTCCAGCCCCGTGCATCCTGGGACAAAACTGTTTCTGGTCGGCCGCTGCAACATGGATTTTCTTAATCGTTTTACGTCATTAGTCACTCTTCTGGAATGTCACTCAAGACCAAGCGGTCAGAAGGCCTGAGGACCCAAGGCCCCACTGGAGCAGTCTGTCCTTAATGCCGAATCAAGGCGGAACATGGGTGAAAGACGAATAAGAGGCAAATCACAGCAATATTCCACAGCGCCCTCCAGAGTGACCTGGGGAGGACCGAGGCCACACGCCACTGCCCCCGAGGCCAGAGTGTAAGTAAGGGATAACCAGGACTCCCTGGGAGAGATGGACTCTGTCCTCAGCAACACTTCCACAGCAGAACGGGGTAGCAGGTACCCCTTCTTATCAGCATTAAAAATGCATTTACAACCTTTCATTTAACCGAAAAACACAAACCGCTTTAACCTCTTTATTTCTGTCCCTCACTGCATGAACATCTATACAATTTTAAAAATATTTCCTCATAGGATGCTTTGGCCTTTCATCTATTTAATCATAGCTACATATCTATTTTTTATAAGTAGCAGTACACATTCAAAGGGGTATTCCTAGCTCAACGCTTGGTGTTCTAGCTCAACTTTTATCCTGCAGCAAGTAAGCCTAGATACCTCCACACAATTTGGCTGAGTGGCTTTGTGTGAACGTGGCCCCAGGCCAAGGGGATCATGGCCCTGGCCGGCTTTCCTGGGGGTCTCAGCTCCTGTTGTCAGTGACAGGCGGCTCAAAGGAGTGTCCATTTCTCTTGATCCAGAAGTGCTCAGTGAATGCCTGCTCTGTGCATGGCCTTAAACATTGAGAAGTGCTGCTCTCCATTTATTTGGGATTTGATTCTCATTTTACCATAGCTTATATTCTCAATTTCAATGTCAGTCTCAGAACTCTTGTTTTATGTGTTGTGTTCTCAAAATTACATTGTCCCTCATGTCATTTCAAACTGTTGTCAAAGGGATTTGAACATACACAACTACAAATCCAAGCAGACTGACTCTCAAAAATAATCTTAAATACTGCAAATAGTCCCAACCAAGATTCAGTCAATATGTTTGTTTTGCAAGTTTGGGAGAGTAGTTGGCTTTGAGTCACACATGGAAGCTTTAAGAGGTGAAACGCTGGCTTCATTCTGGACTAGACAGGAACTTGGCCTCAGCGTGAGATCCTGCCATGCAGTGTTACGGTGGCACTGAAGAAGTATGAATGTGAAGGCGTGGGCTTGGGGCCAGAGCACGACTCTGCTGCCCCACCACGCAGCTTGTGAGGAGCCACTAAACCTTTCCGTGCCTAGACCTCCCCATCTGTGGAATGGGGTCAATACCACCTACCTCACAGGGGTGTTGTGAGGACTGAGAAGAACAATGTCAAATGTTTTTAATACTCAGATGTGGGGGCGACATCAATGAAATCTGTACTGTATAAAAGCTACACAAAAATGGGCAGACATTTGGTTAATTGTACCAGATACCTAAAATGTATGTTCAGAAAAGCGTTTTATCAACTCAGAGATACGACGTGTTTCTAGATTTCATGGCTTAATGAATTTTTTCATTGTTATATATACCAAAGAGGCTTACGGGTTCATTGATTACTAGTATGACAGCTGCTGGTTTGAAAACCAGACGGCCAGGCACGGTGGCTCACGCCTGTAATCCCAGCAATTTGGGAAGCCAAGGTGGGTGGATCATGAGGTCAGGAGTTCAAGACCAGCCTGGCCAACATGATAAAACCCCGTCTCTACTAAAAATACAAAAAATAGCTGGATGTGGTGGCGGGTGCCTGTAATCCCAGCTACTCAGGAGGCTGAGGCAGGAGAATCCTTTGAACCCAGGAGGCGGAGGTTGCAGTGAGCTGAGCCATTGGACTTCAGCCTGGGCAACAGGGTGAGACAAAAAAAAAAAAACCAAAACCAGACAGACTTGCCCATCGGCCCTCACAACATGCATGCAGTGGGACTCTAGCCAAGGCGGTGGTCAAGCCATCAGTAACAATTTCTCTGGAGTGAATGAATGATCCCCAGTGGGACCACGCCTAGGGCAGCAAATTCCACTTCCTAGAACTGCAGACCGGGAGAGGATGTAGTTAGATTCTGGCAGCCCGCCCGGGCTCTTTGAGGGAAGGTTCTTTCCCCTGCTCTGAGTAGGGCGGGCCCAGCCTCCATTCCCATTGGGAGCCACGAAGTCGTCTTGTTGATAGGTGTAGGGCAGCTGTTGGCAGCCGCTGGCCTTGTGGATGGTAAGGTAAGCTGACGGTGTTGGTATTTAATGCCATCCTCCCTCTGCTAGAACCCAGAAAGTCCACCTTCATGCCAGGCCCACCAGCTGGAAGGAGCCCAGGAGGCAGGTCTTAGGGTTTCACGGTGAAATGCTGCCTGACACCAGGGAAAACCTGACATTGTATTCTGCTTGAGAGAGGAATTCCAGGGGTAGGGATCGTGAGAGAACATTCCCAGCCTCTTTATAATCCCAGGGCAGCAGTCAGCAATTACTTAGGGATAAAAGATGAACTCTTTTTTTTTTTTATTTTTTATTTTTATTTTTTTAGACGGGGTCTTGCTCTGTGGCACAGGCTGGAGGCTGGAGTGCAGTGGCACCATCTCGACTCACCACAACCTCCGCCTCCTGGGTTCAAGCGATTTTCCTGCCTCAGCCTCCTGAGTAGCTGGGATTACAGGCTTAAGACACCACGCCCGGCTTTTTTTTCAAGACGGAGTCTCACATTGTCGCCCAGTGGAATGGCACTATCTCCACTCACTGCAACCTCTGCCTCCCGAGTTCAAGCGATTCTCCTGCCTCACCTCCCAAGCAGCTGGAATTACAGGCATGTGCCACCATGCCCGGCTAGTTTTTTGTATTTTTAGTAGAGACGGAGTTTCACCATCTTGGCCAGACTGGTCTCGAACTCCTGACCTCATGATCTGCCTGCCTCGGCCTCCCAAAGTGCTGGGATTATAGGGGTGAGCCACCACGCCTGGCCAAGATGAACTCCTTAAGGGCAGGATTTGGTGATTGACTTCTGTTTAGTTCTGTGATCTTGAGATTATTTTCAGCTTTATAAATTTAGCAGTGGCAGGGCCCGCAGAGAATCAGGTTAATGCGGTAAAGGCCACATCACCAATTTTCTCAATTTAAAAAACTGTCAAGAGATTTATTTTTCCATTGCAGGTTTTAAAGTGGAGATTCTTAAGTGGAAAATAGGTACTGCTCAGAACAAAGCTACTTGGAAACAGCACAACGTGAAGCCTTTCGTGAGGGCTTGCAGGCCGCTGCTGAGTGGCAGTTTACAGAAGAGGTCGCGGGGTGAGCCTCTTAGGACAGAAAACAGAAGGCAGCAGTGCACCTGCCACCCCTTTGTTGGTGCGAGCTGCTCCTTGAGCCTAAAAAGTAGGCTTTATTCATCCCTTCTGTTCATTTACCAACCTGGGGGATTGATATGACCAGGGAAAACATTCCTAAACCAGGAAGCTGCACTAGCCGATCAGGCTTGGTAAGGTCTCGGCCACAGCTGGCTGCTAGGAGTACCCCCACGATAGGCACAGCACACCACTGTCCCTTCGCTGCACTTTCTTCCTGCCTTAGGTAGGTGGGCTTGCCCACCATAGTTTGCTTTTGTCGTGGTTTGGCAAGGTTAGAAGACCTCGACCTCTCTGTCTTGCTGGGAAGTGCTTACTCTCTGGGCCACTGCTGCAGAAGATGTGGTACTTGTCATGGGTTTGGAAGACACAGCCATCTGCAGTAGAGGCAGCCTATCCCATTGCAAGGAGAGGAACTTAATGGAGTAATTATTCTACTCTTCTTTTTACATACAGAAATGTTTATTTAAATATTCTAAATTGGATTTTCTTTCACAGATACTGATGATTCTTTCGAGTTCTTAAATAAAACCGCACTTGATTTCACTCAACCACAGTGTGATTGTGTGGGATGTGAAACTCTGAGGTCACTCTTGGGTAAGAGGTGTCTTAAGCCTTCAGCCTCAAACCACATGTGTTTTGCCTCCTCAATTTCTTTCTGAATTCCTACCTCTAACCAGTTGTAATGATAATTCCTTTTGCCCTACAGGCCACCACATAGGTTTGTAAGGCCTTGGAACGGGAGCCTCAGTGCCCTGAAGTAGCAGGTGCAGGGGCAGTGGACGTTGATGTGAGTGATGTGTTATGTGTTGAATGTGCTGCTATGTTAGCATGTAGACCCATTTACTGTTAATCACTGAATCAAGCTGGATATTTGCTTAAATGTGACTATCTGGGCATCGTTTTGCCACAAAAACTTTTAAAAGTTTAGGTCACATGGGTTAATTTTTAACAAGCAGTTATTAAGCTCCTCTAAATGGAAAGGGTACTGTGGAGAAATGGAAAACTGCTTGGAAAAAACTACTAGAAAAAAGGTTGTTCTTACCCAGTGCTTTGCTATCAACGGAAGGTGGACGCAGGAGAGCTGCAGGAGTTTGGGAAAGCAGTGAAGTAACTGAGACCATCTGCTACGTAAGCTGGCCAGGTGCTAACCCCTGGCTTTAGGAGCTCTGCCCTTGCTGGAAAGGGAGAGAAGCTGGAGCAAAGGTTCCTCATCCTTCCGTGAGTCACTGCTCAGATTACCGGGTGGAACTTTCCAGTAGCACCAGGTTAACAGTGGGACTGTAATTCCGGAGGAACTGGATTCCTTTGCGATAGGGCAGGTGCTACTCGGCGGTGGAGTCTTGGAACCTAACACTCAAACCGGCACACCCCGACGGACTACACTGCCCAGCACAGGGTCTAACACACAGATGCTCGGTGCGTAGGTGTGGAACAAGCGAGGGATTTCTTGCTGGATGGCCACTCCCTGATGTTTTCCATGTGGACTGGGAGTCATCCCGAGCTACTGTGACAAGGACGAAGACTTCGTGCCTTGCAAACATGGGGAAAAGCAAAACTGCCCAAGCCAAAGAACCTGAAATTACGGCCTGTCAGAGTCTCTGGGTTTTATTATTGACAAATGATTACCTTTTAAAGAAATAACCAGCCGGGTATGGTGGCTCACCCCTGTAATCCCAGCACTTTGGGAGGCCAAGGCGGGTGGATCACCTGAGGTCAGGAGTTCGAGAACAGCCTGACCAACATGGAGAAACCCTGTCTCTACTAAAAATACAAAAAATTAGCCGGGAGTGGTGGCACATGCCTGTAATCCCAGCTACTCGGGAGCCTGAGGTAGGAGAATTGCTTGAACCCGGGAGGCAGAGGTTGTGGTGAGCCAGAGATCGTGCCATTGCACTCCAGCCTGGGCAACAAAGTGAAATTGTCTT